ACAAAACAAAACAAAAGAATGAACAGTCCTTCCCCTCAAGAAGCTTACAGTCACATGTCAATAAGCATTTATTAAATGACTACAATAAGTGCTTCAGATATAAAGAAAGGAAAAAAACAAACAAACAAACAAACCCAGTACCTGATTGTCAAGGAGCTTACAATCTAAGAGAAGAGACAACATGCAAACAACTATTTACAAAGATATATACAAGAAAGGTTAGAGATAATTTTAGCACTAGCATTAAGGGGAATTTGGAAAAACTAATTGAAAAAGGTGAGATTTTAGCTGGGTCCTGAAGTAAGGGAAGACAGGAGGCAGAGGTGAAGAGATAGAAAATTACAGGCACGGAGGACAGTCAGTGAAAAGACACAGCTGGGTGGCGAGTGTTGTGTGTGAGGAATAGCAAGGAAGCCAGTATCCCTATATCACAGAGTATATGGCAGAGAGTAAGGTGTAAGAAGACTAGAAAGGTGTGTGTTGGTGCAGGGGAGAGAGAGAGTAAGTTATGAAAGACTTTGAATGCCAAAGAGAGGATTTTATATTTGATTCTGGAGGCAATAGGAAGACAGTGAAGTTTATTGGATAAGGAGTGCTTTAGGAAGATCTTTTTGACAGTTAGGTGAAACAGGGGTGTCAAACATGTAGGATGGCCGCTGCATGAGGCCCACATCACTCCTAAGAGCAGCCTGAACCAAATTAAGATGTAATTTGGAAATATTTAACAAAGTAAATACAAATATAATAATATATGGATAATGTTAATAGGTGGTTTTCTAAGTAAATATGCACCAGCAGAGATTCTTATGTTGGGTTTAGTGGCCGGGTTTCTATTTGAGTTTGCTATCACTGGAGTCAGAATGAAATAGAGTAGGGTGAGATTAGTACAGGGAGACCAACCTGAAGGCTATTGTCATAATCCAGGTATGAGGTGAGGAGGGCCTGTATCAGGCCAGTTGCAGTGTCAGAGGAGAAAAGGGGGGCACATATAAGAAATATTAAGTAGGTAGAATTGATAGGACTTGGGAATTGTTTGGATATGGGAAGTAAGAAACATTGAGGAGTTGAGGATAACACCTGGGTTTTCAGCCTGGGTGACTGAAAAGATGATGTCACCCTCAACAGTAACAGGGGAGGTTTAGGGGAGGAAAAATAATAAATCAGTTTTGGACATGTTGAGGGTAAGATGTTTGAGATGTCTAATAGGTAGATGGTGATATGACTCTAGGATAGAGCAGGATAAATCATTCTGAGAATGATGATGATAGGTGAATCCATGGGAGATGAAAAGGTCACCAAGGAAAAAAAGTATAGAAGGAGAAAAGAAAAGGGCCCAGGTCAGAGCCTTGGGGGTATTCTTACGGTCAGTGGGAGTGACTTGGACACTTAGTCTGCAGAAAAGGAGACTGAGTAGTCAGATAGGTAGGTAGATAGAGAGAATGGTGTCATCAAAATCTAGAGAAGATTGTATCAAAGAGAAGAGGGTAACTGAGGGTTTCAAAGGATACAGAGAGGTCAGAAATGAGGGAGAAAAGGCACTTATATTTGGCATTTAAAAGATGACTAGTAACTTTGAAGAAAGCATTTTCAGTTGAATGTTGATAGTGGAAGTCAAACTGCAGAGTTAAGAAGAAAGTGAAAGGAAAATAATGGCCTTCTCAAGGAGTTTAGCTGTGAAAAGCAAGAAAGCTACTGGACAATAGGTATCAGAGATGGATGGATCAAATGAGGGTTTTTTGAAGATAGAGGACACACTTGTATGTTTGTAGGCAGTAGGGAAGTAAGTAGCAGATATGAAGAGTTTGAGGATGAGTCAGAGTGAGGGTGATAAAGAGGTCGATTTGTTGGAGAAGATAGTATGGAATCAATCAGTCAACATTTATTAAGTACTTAAAGGCACTGATCACTTGTACATGTAGAGGATTTGCCTTGGCTAGGAGAACAGCCATTTTTTTTTTCAATATAAGATTAAAGGAGGAGAAAATGCGAGGAAGCTTCTGAATGATATGATATCACATCAAGAAGAGAGAGCTCTAGGTCAACTTCTTCAGTGAAATATAAGTCAGGGTTCTCAGCCACAAGGGTAGAGGGAGGGCAAGCCATGGAAGATTTGAAGAAGGATGAAAAGATTTGGAAAATGTGTTAAGGTAGGTGGGATAATGGGTCAATTAGGGAAGTGGAAAAGGACTTCCTTGCTTCAGTGAGGGTCCAGTTGATAATATGTAACATAAATTTATAGTTTGACCTAGTCAACATGTTATCCTGATTTTATAGTAAATAGTGAAGGCAACGGATAGTGGGAGTAATACAAAGCTGGGGTTCGATAGAGCAACGTTGTCGATAGAAAAAAGGGGCAAGAGACTTGAAAGATGAGGGTTGTATAGAGTTCAACCGGTTTACCAGGGGTCAAGATGGGGAAGAGAGGTGAGCATAGCTAATAAGGGTGAGGACCTGGAAAAGAACTGAAGGAGGAGTAGACATCTTAGGGAGGAAACAGAACAGGGTTCGAGGTTGCAAAACAAAGGAGAAGTGGAATGACAACAGATTATGCTCTGATAATGGAATTTCAGAATTTATGAACATGGAAGTGGAACTTTTGTGAGTGACGGCAAGATCGAGTGTGTAGCTGAAGTGAGGTCAAGGAGTAGGTTATGGATAATGAGTAAATTGAGGAACTGGTAGATCAGTCCTTTAGTGTTGGTGAGAAAAGAAAAACTGTGAGGGAGGCACTGAATTCAATGAAGAAGGAAGGAGAGAGTCCTGGATGTCAGTAGATCTCAGCTACCAGAATCTTGTTTGGGTGATAATTATGTTTTCAATGAACCCCAAAGGAGGAGAGGTTATTGAGTGATAATGATAGAGGGAGATTCTGGAAAAGACAATGGGTAGCAAGAATTCTCCAAGCTGTGTCATCTGGAGCCAGGTCTTATTGAGTCCATGAAGATGGAAGGAGTGAGAAGGGAAACGGTTTAAGATGAAAGCAAGTTTATTAATTACAGAGCAAGCACTCTAGAGAGTACAGTGGAAAGAGTGGGTAGCTTTAGAGTGGGACATTGTGGAGGTTAGGTTGAAGGAGATGGGAGTAAGTGGGGAATGGAAAGTGAAGTTTAAATCAAATGAGAAGTTGGGGTTCAGAATTACTGGGATGGTGGGGGTATGATCCAGTAGGAACAAGTTAATTATTGGAGATTGAGTTCAGGTAGATTATCATCATCCCTAAAGGTTTCAGTCTTGGGGTGGATTCATTCTTTAGGCATAGATTGCTATATAGCTGCAAAGGGGGTTTGAGATGCAAGGCAACCAATGTGGAATTGTAAGAAGATAGGAGCAAGATTGAATGGCTAACCCAGGGAGGCTAAGATCTCCTCTCTTTTCCTCAGTATTGGGAGGAAACAACACGAGTTTCTTGATCAGGGGAGTGAAATGGTCAGACCTATATTAATAGTGCTAAACTATCAACTTGGCACTCCTGTGGAGTCTAGGTTAAAGAGGGGAAAGTATAGAGGAAAGGAGACAAATTAGAAGGCTACTAAAGTAGTCCAAGAAAGATAATTTGGATTGTGGCTGCCCTGTGAGTAGAGAGAAGGGAGCAGATGGAATAGTTGTGAAGATATTTGGCAATTGACTGGTTGGGAGGGGGCATGATGAGGAAGAGAAATGGAAACAATCTACTGAGATGGAGGAGGGTGATAATCTGAGTCCTAGGGAGGGAAGATTAAAAAAAAAAGTCATCAGAATGATCATTAGAATCTGCTAGCAATAAGCTGTCTTACTTCTTGCTTCTGCATTTTTCTAGAGTTCCTGAAAAGAAATCACCACTTTCTGTCAAGGCATTTTCTTAGACAAATTATAATTGATTGCATTTCATTTTATATCAATTACATTTAGATCCTGATCTCATCATTCACAAATTCTCCCTTAAGGGTGAGTTACTTCTGCAGACAATCTCAATTAGTTTTATGCTTATTTAATCTCAGAGAATGGTATTTCTCTGGCCGTTTCCAATTTGGTGTTGCAAGAGTATATTAATATACCCTGGGTGCACCAGTGCCCTCTCTCTAATGCAGAGATTACAGATTTATGGGGAGAAAAATATCCCCAAATCTCCTATCTTCTCAGGGTCAAGTTACTTTGTAGAAGGTCAACTGAGGTGATGCAGCAGATTGTATTTAGGCAATTACGGGAACCTTACTGAGAAGAGACAGTGGACTAGCTTTTTAGTGCGGTGGGGAGTAGCGACCTTCTTAGCCATATTTTGCTAGATGATTTACTCTTCATTATGCTCTCCTCCTTGGTCCCTGGATTTTCCCTTAGCACTAAAGCCCGTGTCTATGTCTTTCTTTTTTTTTCCTTTGAGGTTTTTAGTATAAAGCAAGCTGGCAAAAGGTCCCTCCCTCCACAGTGTTAGGAGGCACCCCAGTTCTCCGGAAAAAAAATACACACAATAGTGTCAGGACAATCCAGAAGCCTCAGCGCGCCTAGACACGCTTGTAATAGATTAGGGCTATTCCACCCTGCCCAAGATCTACACGAAGAGGGGAAGAGCAATGTTACAGAGGAACGAACGCCCCCTAGTGTCTGTAGCTTATTCCTGCAAGCAGAGTAGTCTCTTCTACAGACCGAGGAGGCGGCGCGCGCCCCCTAGCGCCTCGGAACCGTAGCTAGAGCAGAAAAGAGGAGGTAGCCGGAGACCACGCGGCGCCGGGCAGGCGCGTGCGTAGAGGCGGCTCACTCGGCCTGGGGACTAGGGAGAGCCCAAGTGCCAAAAGCCAGAGGGGAGTGAGCGACGGATTCAGGGTCACTTTTCCCCGTTCCTAGGCTTCGACCTTTCCTTTCTGACTTCGCTGCAATTGGTGCTCTAACTTAGACCTGGAAGCCGCGCAGGGAATCAAAAATGGGGGCGAGAGGCTTGCGTAGCTGAGACTTGCTCCTCTCCACTCCCCTTCCCACGACGGGGGCGGCTTGGGCTGGCCCCGGGTCAGGAGGCGCGGGGGCGGAAGCCGCGAGGGCGCCTCTGGCTGTCAGAGCTGGAGCCGGGAGACTGAGCCGAAAGCCGAGCGAGTCGGCCATGGAGAGTCACCGCTGGCTGCCTCTGGAGGCCAATCCCGAGGTGAGCGGCGGGCTGGCGGGGCTGGACGGGTCGGGACGGGCGGAGGCGGCCTGGAAGCCCGAGGAATGGATCCCTGACCCACGTTTTCTTTTTTTCCGTTTCAGGTCACCAACCAGGTGAGTTGTAGCCGGGGAGCCTTGAGTGCTTCGTCCCCCGCCCGCCCGGCCTCCAGGTTGCTCCACGCCCCCCGCAGTGGTCGGGACTTCGTTCCGCCGAGGCCTCCAGCCGCTGGTAGTCTCCCCGGAGGCTCCTCTTTCCAGCCTCTCCCGCCCCTCTCCTTGATCTCGGCAGTGCCCGGGCCCCTGCGTTCATCCCCCGGCCTCGGCCTCTGTTCCCCGATAGCCTACGTTCTCCCGCCCCCTCCCCAGCAGCGATCTCCCTCCCTTCGGCCCTCCTTCCTCATTACTTCTTGCTGGGGTCGGATTCCATCATTCCCTTTCAGTGCGTTTCTTCGGGGACGGTAGTTTTTCACTTTTCTGGAGTGCAAGCCCTGTAAACTCACCTCCTGAGTCACCTCCAGCACGGCGAAATCACCTTCCCCCATCATCTTTCCATGCCCTCTTCGACACACCTTGTTTTCTGCTCCTCCCCACTTTTCTCCTCCCAAATTTCTAAATTGGCAAATTTAGCTTTTGTACCTTCTTACTAAACCTTAATTAAAAACCAGTCTGTTCCTTGGAGACTGCCCCACCCCCTTTCTTACTGCTTCCAGGGATGAGGACTTGGAGCTGTGCAATCACTATGGAGTAGGGTGCTATTGGAAAACGATTCTGGTGCATGTGAAAGTCCGAGAAGCAAAGGCTACCTTTGGCTTCTAGAAGAGGTGGTCGGGAAGTGGATTTTGCCGTTTACTATGCTGTTGTTTTATGTTAGGAGTGTGAATTTTATTTTAAAATAATTTTTTAAATGGCTCAACTCCACAGTTTTTAGTGCACTAAACAAGAATATTCTGGTGTTATTTGAAACCTCACATCTTTATTTGTTAATGTTACCAAATACATGAATTTTTAGTTGCCCATTTTTATGCATCTTAGTTTTTGTTCCCTGATTTCAAATAGCTTAAGTGTTCAGAAATTTTATTTCCTTAGAAATTATATATGAAAATATTCAGAATATATTTTGTAAAATATCCTCACCAAAAGATCTCCTTTCCAAACCCCGTAATATTTTTCTTCTGACGGCATTTAGATATGTTTTCTGTAGGTTATCCAGGAAAACAACAACCTGTTTTCTGTAGGTTATCTAGGAAAACAACAACGAAAAGGTTTGTTTTTCTATTCTGAATCAGCACAGTATCCAGCAAATGACTTTTTACTTCATCCAACCCAGCGTTTCATAGCTATTGAAATTCCTAGTTCATAGAATTTAGAAATGTTACAAAGCTTCAATTTTGTATTTCTGCTTTTTTTATGATAAGACCAGAACATGGAAATAAACTTTTAATTTATAAATTATAGCAAGAATTATTCCTTGATGTTACTGATTTTAACATGCTACTCAAGACTGAATGTGAAACTATTCTTTAGTCATTAGGCTTCTTACTAATTAGGTATGATTATATAACTTCTGAATAGTTTTATGTCATATAGTTAACTTTGTTCCTAGGTGATCTTAATTATAAAATGTCTTGATTCTGTAATAAGGTTGTAACTTTGGGAAAATAAACCTGGTGGGAAAAGATATGTGGTTGAATAAATATCAGACTGGGAAGCCTGATACTGGCTTATTTTGTCTCAAACTCCCCTGTTGGGTAAATGTGCTTCTAATTCAGGGGAATGGGGTAGTAGTGGTCAATTTTTTCAGAATTATTTATGATCATTTCTTTAATCTTCATGTGCAAATGTCAGAACTGCTGTTTTTGAACAGCTGGGAATTTTAATTGTATTTATATTTATAAGATTTGCCTTATTAGTCTTAGGTCTGCTACATAGAACTATAGACTCTTAATTCACATGGCATACTTTCAGATAAAAATAGGGTCTCTTCCTCACAAAGTCTTTTTATGACCTAGATAAAAAACCTTTGGTTTTTTAACCATCTTCATGTAATGTTTTTTGGCACATCACAATCCAAGTCACTCCTTAATGGAAATCCTCCAGTTTTTTAATGTCAATTAATGAGTGTTCAGAACTGACCTTATTCATTCTCATGAACTCTGTGATCCAGTAGCTCTGATATCTGTGCTGTTTTCTTGCTCCATGCTCTAGGCATTTTCATGGACTGTCCCCTCACCATCTCTGCCTCCTTGCCTCATTGGCTTTCTTCAAGTCTCAGCTCAAGTTCCACCTTTTGCAAGAAGGCTTTCCCAGTCCATCATAATCTTAGTGCCTTTCCTCTAAAATTATCTCCCAATTTATCTTGTATATACCTTGTCTGTATATAGTTGTTTGCCTACATCCTCCCCTATTAGACTGTGAGCTCCTTGAGAGCATAGACTGGTTTGTTTTTTGTTTTGACCTTTCTTTGTATCTTGAGTGCTTAGAACAGTGCCTGGAACTTAGTAGGTGCTTAATAAATGCTTGTTGATTTGATTTGCTCATAATATTTCAAATGTGCCATGGCCAATGCAGAGTACAGGTGAACTTCATTTATCTTGCCTAGGACAGAAAACTTCTATTAATGCAACATTACATTTTGTTTTGTTTTGTTTTGAACCCTTTACTTTTTCCTCTTTATGGTCCACCAAAACTACTAGGTCTTTTTCATATAGACTACCTTTGTCAATTTTAATAATTTTGTATTTGTATAGTTAATTTGAAAAACATAAATGTGGGACTTTGTCCTCATTGGTTTCACACTTTTTCCTCTTGGAACTTTTGAATCCTGATTTTTTTTTTCAGTCTAGTTTATTAGCTATTCCCTTTGTATCACATTGGCCTAACATTTCTAGAACATGCTCTCTGTTGCTTTATCTGAAATGCTGATAAAAACATTTGAGTGAAATTAGACTAGGGATTTGTGACACATAGGATATTTCTTTCAGGGTGGACATCAACACTCATTCAACGCTCTTTGTGCACATTGTTCAGTTGCTACAAGTCAACCTGTTACATTCTTGTTCAGGCTGAGGGCCCCCCCCCCATCTCCTTGTCCTCACAGAATATCCTAAAGAGATTTTGTTAAATGTCTTGTTGAAATCTAGGCACAGTTTATCAACATTTGCCTTGTCTAGTTTTTTCACACCTCAAAGATTTCCAACTGTAGTTTTAAAAAAAAAATCATATCTTCAAATTCCCTCAATTCTATATTGCAACTACTATAGGTATTGAGATTTAAATTCATTTAACATTCTTTTGTTTTTTCTTCCCCTATGTAAAATCCCTCAATTGTTATTTTTGACTCTTTCCCCTTTCTCACCTCTCACATCCAGTCAGTTCCCAAGTCCTGTTGTTCTACCTCCGTAATTTCTCTAGATTGTTGCCGTCTGGTGTTCTATAAACTCATATCCCTGTCTTTAGTATTTACTACCTATCCATTCTGTATACTTAGAAAATTAATTTCCTTATGCTCAGATATGAACATATCATTCCTGCTTATTGCCAGCTAAGTAAAGCAAAAGCTTTAGCCTGGCATGCAAAGCCCACAACACTCTGGCATCTCCCCACTTTTTCTAACCCTCTTTCTTACTTTTATCTTCTATACATCATTTCAATCAAGCTAGACTGCTCTCTGTCCCTTACACAGTCTAATGTTTTCCTCTCTTTTTTTTTTGAAATTAAATTTAGAAGAATAATTGCTAACATTTATATAGCGCTTACTTTTTATCAGGCATTGTACCAAATATATTAAAATTATTGTATCATTTGATGCTCACAACAACCCTGGGAGGTTGATGCTATTATTATCTCCATTTTACAGAGAAAAGTGAGGCAAACAGTGAAGTGATTTATCCAAAGAATATATAGCTAGTAAGCGCCTGAGGCTGAATTTGAATTCGTCTGACTTCAAGCCTCAAAATCTACCCACTCTGCCACCTAGCTGCCAAAACTCTTATAACAAATATGTATAATCAAAGAAAACAAATTCCTTCATGGGGCGTATTAAAAAAAAATGTCTCATCTTGTACCCTGAATTTGTCAAGAGGTGAATAGCATGTTTCGTCATCCATACTCTGAAATTGTTGGTCATTGTGTTGATTAGTGTTCTTGTCTTTTCATAGTTTGTCTTTGCAAAGTTGTTGTTTTAATATAAATTGTTCTCCTGGTTCTGCTGCAGTTTTTTTTCTTACTTTTTTTTCTGATTTGTCTCTTCCATCATTTCTTTTGGCACAGTAGTATTCCATTATATCCATCTACCATAATTTGTTCGGCATTCCCCAATTGATGGCTACCTCTTTAGTTTCCAGTTCTTTGCCATCAAAAAGAAATGAGCTGCTATAAATATTTTTGTATATATAGATCCTTTTTAAATCTTTATTTGATCTCTTTCTGTTATAACTCTAGTAGTCAAAGGGTATGCATAGTATAGTGAATTTTTGGTCATAATACCAGATTGCTTTCTAGAATGATTTGTGACTTTTTCCCCATGCCATTTCCTTTGTCTGGACTACTTTTCCCCATCTTTGCCTTTTGAATCAATTCTGTCCATATATCAAATGCCCTTTCTTTCATTAAGCCTTTCAGATTGTTTAATCAGAAATAATCTTTATTGTTTTTCATCTTGCTTAGTACCTCTTATTTTCTGTGCAGTATTGTGTATTTGTCTACGTATTTTATTTCCTACTACTAAATTATAAGGTAGGACAGGGATCGTGTGTTAATCATCTTAGCCTTTCTTCTAGTGTATAGCAAAGTGTTTGGCATATAATAAATCATATTGAGTGAATTCTACAGAAATTAATTTAGAAAAGCTAGGTGCTCTCTTAGAATCTTTTTACTAATCTTTGGCTTCAAGCATTCTTCATCTTGTTTACCCTTTCTCCTCTAAAGATTGGAGGACTGAATTGTTCTTGATCTGACGGACATGGCCCAGTATGGAGAGACCTTAATCTTGGAGGACAGTCAGCCCTACAGCTACCATGTAATGATTTATTGAAAGTTACCTCTTTGTATGTGCTGCTGCTTTTTTTTCCTTCCTAATTAAGTGCTCAAAACAAATTGGAGGCGCAAGAAAACTG